CAGCTGCAGCAGAAAGCTTATCCTGCAGTGTGGGCTGCACAAAGGTGCAGCAGGTGCTAAATAATTTAAAATAATTTATTTTCAATACAAATTTCAAGCCAACTGTGCGGCTCATCCATCAATCAGCCAATTGTGTGTCATGTCCAATCTTATTTTGAAAAACCGCGATAGAGCGGGTCAAGTATGCAAAGGCATGTGGCAACACAGGTGATGCTACGCATTCATGATTTTTGTTGTGCATGCGTACCAGTTATGTGCACCCCTGCCCATTAAGAAACATTTGTAGGTTATAGTCATTTGTCATCCATAGGATTTAATAAAAAACAGCATGTTTTATTTGTTTTGTAAATAAAAGATGTACAGAGAGATGTAATCTGTGGTGGCTTTCAAATCTCTGTGTCTCTGACCTTTTCTGGAGACTCACATCGCTGACAGTGGCAGATGAAATGGTACTGGTCGTCCAGCTGCTTCTGTCGATCTTCAGTCAGAGACAACGTCTCGGTGTAACTTATAGTCAGCTGCACAGACAACATGTGAGGAAAGTTAATGTGGAAGTATCTTTATCCACAGAACGATTGGATCATTGTCAGTGTGTGGTTCAGTGCAGATGGATAAAGAAGCTAAATTTGAGTAAACAGAGTGCAGTGGAAATTATGCTGTAGTGTGTGGGTGTGTGTGAGTGTGTCTAAGTCCAGATGGCTTGGGTGCATCTCATTACATAAAGTCACAAAGCATCTCGTTACAGTCACATGGGATGTGGGGAAAAATGAAGAAACTGCTGCCAAGTTAGGAGCTGTCAATATCCATGTGTTTGTGCTTAAAATTGTTCACGGTGTGAAAATGTAGCATCGTTTCTTCCTCATACCTCGTCTCCAGGGTTGACATCCTGCACAGCTCTGAGCTGTATTTTTGTCCCCTCAAACACCATCACACAGTTTGGCCTACAGTCATGGTTTAATAGAGATAAACTGAGGGAGAGCAGACAAGAAGGAGACAGGGCACCAGAGGGGAAGAGGAGGAGAGGGAGGGTAAAAGATAGAATACAAGAAATACATACAGGGAGAAGAGAGTGAGAAAGATGACTTTATCTGTTAATACAGTTTACCTTTCAAACAAATTCTCTATTTTATTTATCTTCTTAATCCAATCATTTATTGAGAGCTCTAGAAATCTCCAATCCCTGCATGTGAGAAGCTGTAAGGGGGTCAGTAATTATCTGGACTTATCATAAATCTGATACGTGCACACACAAACATCCTACCATATTTTTTGCCCTATAAGTCGCAGTTTTTTGCATAATTTGCATGCCTTGCGACTTGTACGCCAAAGCGACATGTTTATGGATTTTTCCCATATTTATTAAACCGATTTTTGGCTGAGATATGACAGTTTCTGTTCATTGACTGAAAATATTGTTCACAACCATTTTCAGCCGCTAGATGGCACTCGAGCAGGCATGGTGTTGTATCATGTAATATGTAAAAGTGGCTATTAATGACACAATCGGCTTGCCATAACCTGCCACTGTCGTCTGCCTGGAGCAACCGTCAAATCAGCTTCATTTCGCTGCGCCGCCCCTGCAAAATGCAGCTGATTTGACCATTGAACTGCATTTATTAAGTAAAAGTTCAACTGAGACACACCTTTGCTATAAAGTCAAGCAAACAAATAATTGTTTTTAGGTGTTTACCTTGTTAAATTTTGAAGAAATGCACAGTGAGTCGTCCTCTGGGCGTTCATGTTTCCGCATATTGGCTTTTGAAAACAGCTGATTTTACCATCAAAGTGTATTTATTAAGGAAAAGTTAGACTGAGACACACCTTTGCTATAATTTTGGACAAACAAATAATTGTTTTTAAGTGTTAATCTTGTTAAATTCTTGTTAAAGTCCTCCCGAGCATGCCCCCGCGGTCGCCATTTGGCAGCCCATCGATTTTTGGCACAACACCGACCCACATTTCCTGGTTGTCATCGGTGACGCGTAACAAACGCGAAGCATCAGCGGTGACGCATAATGGATGTGATGTATACGGCGAAGCAACGTATTTATGGATTTTTCCACTTTATTTTAAATATTTGGACTGATGCGACTTATAGGGCGGTGCGATGTTTACAGCAGAAAATATGGTATTTGAAACTCATACACATACAGTACCTTTCTACTTTTACCTTTCTGTCATTCTTCTTCTTTCACTCAGACATGCATAAATCTCTTTTAAAAAAATCTATGAATACTCCACTTTGGTCAAAACACAGGCTTTCATTTCATTTCCCAAATGTATTTTAGTGACAAATCATGTTATGCCTCTCCTACTTGCAGACCTGTTTCTAAATTATTTTGAATCCTTGTTTTGAAGATACCTACTGGCAAATGTTAACTGAAACTAACACTTATTTGGGCTTTTTAACTTTTTCAGAAATGGTGCATTGAAAAAAAAATGCTCATAGAAAACTTTTTATTATTGTCAAATCACTGTAAATTATTTTGTTGAGACTTCACATATTGTTTATTATGAACAGAGGATTTTTCTACAACCCCACTAACACAGATGTTTGTTTCCCAAACTGATATTCCTAAAAATTATATTCCAAAAAAGAAGAAGTCATACAGGTATGTGCAGGTATTTTTCAGTCCAGGTTTTAATAAATCATGTTGAGTATGATAAGAATTACATATTCTGCAAACAGACACATTGCGTATTAGAAGAACAACCTCAAACTTAGCAATAGCTGAAACAAAGTGAAACAGAATATTGCCATTTATGTGTTAAATGCAGCCTCCATCAACAAAAAGAAAGAAAGCAGGTGAGTGGTTCCAAATAAGGTTTTACTTGTCTGTAAAGCCTCTTGTTGATGAGCATATCTCCGTCAGTGTAACGAGAATGTAACTGTTATTAAAGACCTCCCTCCGCTCATAAAATGACTTTTAATATCACTGCACACATGGCTGGGAAAAAACACTTGAAGAGGTCTGTGTGTTTTTACAGCCCCCTCCATTACGGCAGCTATCGTTTATCATTTTCAGCAAAACAATGGGTGCATGAGATTAAGAGTGCGTGTTCAGCCTTTGTAAAACCATCAATAACGCCCCTGGCTTTGCTCTTCGGTGGAGAAGCTGCAGGTTGAATATCAACTAGTCATCAAGCCCTCAGAACGATGCTTTTATCTGATGGAGAGCAGCTCATTAGCATACTAATTAGATTAATTGACTAAACCACATCTCGCATAAACGGTATTTGTGAAAATAAACGTTGTATGTGGCAGGATGGAAAATGACACAAGAGATGAGCTGAGACTGCTGTTCTAACATCCAGCTGAATTCTCACCTGTTGGGAACCTAACATGGCTGAACATGACTCATCTGTGAGAAACGATTTATGTATTTTATATACATTATAATGATTTTTTTTTTTTTAACTCATGCAAAGTTGCTAAATGTACTGTTTTTACTTCTCTAAGTGGTAAATAATGCTGTGGTAATAGATGCTATTTATATCTGCACATTGTCTGCAGGCATTTAGACGGAGAGCGTGCACACAGTCCCTGTCTTGTCCTAGTTGGGCTCCCGTTACTCATTTCACCTCACATATCCAGAACCCAGGCCCGTCAGGTACCGTTTGGTCCCACCCACATCCCCATTTCTGCTCAAAGGGTGCCTTGTTTCTTCTTTCGACTCCCTCCCTGTTCGTTTTTGTTCATTTGATGTAAGACATGTGTAGTTCTGGGTTTCATTGTGTAGTGAACTAGACCTCCGACATCAATCTGTCTCTGAGGACCTTCAGGGGACAGGAACTGTTATTTCATTGATTTGAATCCAGAAATACAAATTATCTCATCAAGAGACTATTTAATTGTATCCTGAATTAATCAATTGAAAGAACACTCTTCTTTTTATATTATCATTACCATTTTATAATATCTTGATAATCAAAAGTGTGTTTATTTCATACTATTTCTCATGTTGAAGTGAACCACTCATTTAAATCAACTGTGAAACAGTATTAATGATTTTTAAACCTCATTAGACTTCATCAATCATACAAGTTAAAGGTCTATTTACAAAGTAAGTGTGCATTTTAGTCTTCTGTCTGAATGAGGAATAGTGGATTTGAGGTCGAAAGTCAGAGACAAGTTATGAGAATGAAGTGCCTTGTTTTCAAAACTCTCAGACAGTAAATAAGAACTAGCTGGCACCTGCTGTCTCTCACTTCTTCAAAATATTTCTCTGTCTGTACTAACCGTTCTTAAAAACATTTCTGCTGTCTGCTGACTTCTAATAACCCTCTGACATCACTAAAACTACACCCCTGCTGGTTGTTTCAACCAATCAGGAAGTACCAAGTGACAGGAAATGGATACCCTTTAAAAGTCAACACTTCTTGGAACTATTGAGTCTTCCAAGTCTTCCGAGTCTTTCCAGTCTTCCTGGAACTTTCAGTCGAAGATGAGACTCAGTCTGATAGCGAGTCGTACAGGAACTTTCAGTTCTTACTGAAAGTCAACTAAGTAGCTGATGGATTTGACCGTGTGCCAAGTGTCCGTCCATTCCAGCGTAGTCACAGCGTGCCTCGCTGTGAACTCAAACCGAGCATTAAATGCTCTCAACTTCGAAGGAAGCTTATTCTGTTGATCGGAGCATATGGAACTACTTCTAAAGATTCTCAGCCACCCTGACCGGAGACGCTGAAAAGGTAGCGTGCCAATGGACCTCTGTTCCGGAGCTGATGTATGCACCACCTCAGGTAACAAGTCGTTGCACGCCCTGAGTGTACCGCGGGCTGAGCTGGTGTCGGAGGAAGGGTGCCATTTTCTGGTCAACACATGTTCCTTCATCCATCTAAACCTCCTCTTTAAATCTTTAAACCTCTTTACTCCTTCTCTTTAAACTTCTATTCGCCAGTAAATCAAGCTAGATGCTTTCAGAGATGAATTATTCTCCATCTGTAATCCTCTGTTGTCTTGTTATTTGAACTTGCCAAGTTTTATGAATCAAAAACAGATCAGCAAATCAAGTGTACATGTTTTGATGTTAAATTTTGATTCTGTTAAATAAATGACCGCATTTATTATGATGGGTCAAAGATAAATTACGTCTCATGTCACTAATTAAAACTCCACTCTCAAGTTATCTTGGTCACATGGAAGAAATTTAAATCGAAAAAGAAAGAATCCATGTTAATTAAACAATTAATATTCTTTGTGCTTGAACTAGCTTTAAGAATAATTAATTAGTAGTATGTTACAGCAAAAGCTGTCCTTACATAACTACAATTGGTTGCGGACTGGCAGATTGGGGAGTCGGACCTTTGCTTCTGATCAACCAGTCAGAGAGAGCAGGGTTTAAAATTGCACATTATTGTTCTGTCATCATGTGGAAAGCGGGTTTTATTTACCTGCGTCCAGCCCGACGATGTTGGATTTGCTGTTTTGTCTGCATTTTATTTTTTTCTGCCCTTTTTACTTCCTGACACATCCAGGCCCCCTTAAAGTGACTGTAACCCCAGCATGAAAACACTAACATCTTGTGTAAGTGCAATGGTCTGGGAAGCTCGGTCCTCATCTCCTTCTACAGGTGTGCAGTGGAGAGCATCCTGTGCTCCAGCATCAACATGCGGCATGGAGGCTGCACAGCTGCAGAAAGAAAAGCTTTGCAGAGAGTGGTGAAGGCTGCACAGAAGTCTGTTGGAGTCAGCCTCCCCACCATCACAGACATCTACACCTCCAGATGCAGGAAGAGGGCCACCTGCATCATGAAGGACCCCACTCACCCAGCACACACACTTTTTGCCCCACTCCCCTCAGAAAGAAGGTTGAGGAGCATTAAGTGTACAACCACTAGGCTGAGGAACAGCTTCTACCCTGAAGCTGTTAGACTCATGAACCTCTAATCAGGATAATCACTGTGAAAAATCACATCATGTTGCTGTGTTCATTCGTGTTCTTCTGTTCACAGACTCATGTTCGTGCTGCTGTTCGGCATATTGTTTTTATGTTACTAGTGCTTAGTGTATTTTTAGTTAACGTTTTTCTTAGTTCACATCATAGATCTTATTACTGTTTTTCTTTTTACATTTTATTGTTGGATGTAACTGGGACTCTGTGTACACAACTTTGTTCCACCACATGTACCACATGTGGTGCGAATGACAAATAAAGAACCTCTGACTCTCATATACTGTAAATATATGTAATTGTAAGCAGGTGTGTAATTCAATAGTATAACTTGACAATATTTTAAAAACTTGAGTGTTTCAGGTTTGTTTTTGATGCATCTATTACTGATTTCCAACACAGCAAAGTGCTGTACAAACCATTTCTTCTCTGGTAATTTTTTTTTACCTTAAACAACTTGTAATTAATAAATATATTTTCATATGTTGTAAATTAGGATAAGGCTGCAGCTGCAGATGAGTTTAAATCATTCTTCGGCTATGTCAACTACATTATTATGAAGGATTACAGTCAGTGAACAAAGGTCGGAGCTATCAGTTCAACTGTGAATCAGTTTGATTTGGTCAGAGGGTTCAGAGGATCTTGGATCAGAATTTCAACAGCCTGATGAGCAGAGAAGAGAAGCAGACAATCAAATACAGAGGGCGAAGTACAGTGGAGAGAACAGGCGAGCCTGCTAATGAGGAAAAGAGTTTCTGAAATGCAGCAGAGGCAGAAAACGAACAGAAGGAGATGTGCTGAAGTGAGGTGCAGCCTCAGCACTGTAATCCCCCTCTCTTTAGCAAGCACATGGTTGCTAGGCAACCCAAAATATGAATAGGCAGGGGACCATCCTGCGAACGAGCCTATCATTTATGGATGAGTTACAGCACAAATCAGACAGGAACGCGTGGTTTGGCTGAGCTTCAGTAAAGCCACTGTGACCATCTGACATCTCAACACCGGCCAGATTAACTGGCTGTGATACCAGCGGCGTTAGTCGTTATGTGTGTGTGTGTGTGTAGCAACATAAACAGCATGTACAACAACGGGCCAAATCCCACCCCATTCACCCAGGATTCAGTACAGGGATTACTGAGCATACCTTGTATGTGTCTGTGCGTTTCAATCTCACAAGCCAGACAACAACCATTTCATCAATCGCACATCGGTTAGAGTCTAATCTAATTTTTCGCAGAGCACCCTGGCTTCTCTTTTGCTTCTGTCTCGCCCAAACAGGCTTACAATATCCCTTCAAGCTTTCACCTCACAAGCAAGAAGAGAATAAAAAAGAAAATCATCTTCTCTTTCCCTTCGCTTTGCTTCAAACTTCAAAGAAGTGTCAGGACAGAGCGAGAGGCAGAGCTAGAGCTTTGAAATTGTGCCGGTGAGGGACTGGTGGGGCAAGTTCCCTATCTCCAAGCTGCGTTTACATCTTGTCAAATTTTACAGACAGAGGCGAGATTGGCTCCAGTAAAATGGATAGGACATTTTAGGTGTGTGTGCTTCTCACAACAACGTTTGTGTGTGTGCAAGCGTACATATTTGGGTGTTACCTTGGATACAGTCCAACTCCAATCTCCTGCAGTTCCCCGTCACTGATGGTGAAACAATTACATGTCACCTTAAGGACAGAAAGAGGATAAAAAAGGTTGAGATGAAAGAGTGATTATCTGGCAACTTGCTTCAGGGAGACAGCCTTTTATCATTTGTTGAAAACTTTCTTGTGGCACACTCCTAACACGACACGCTGAGAGGCAAGCGCTTGCATTGTTTAATATTTCTACCTTTTATTTTTAAGCATGAAAAATAGCATTCTTTGAAGAGAAAAATTAAAGCTTTTTTACATGACATAACCACTCTTAAATTAGATAGTATACAGCATTACCATCTGCTTATTGTGACAGTGCTGCATGTAATTTCAAGCATTTTAGGAACTTCCAATATATTTTTCACCTTAATTTCTTGGATGATAAATGCAACAAATAACAATTTTTTATTGCTATCTCCAAAGCAAACAATTTAAAGAAGAAAGACTAATAAACAAAAGAAAAAACTCAAAATAAAGGGTTTGAAGTGTCAGATTCAAAATGTCATGTTTAAGATATTTTAAGCATAAGAAATTAATCTAGAAACATATTGTCCTTATCAAGTCTGAGAAGAAAACACAATATTCTTACTATTTTTTATTTTTTTGTATGTGTGTTGCCAAAGACCTGATCTGAAGAGTAACACTATAACACACCAGACACTGATCATGATGCGAGTTTAAGCATCGGCACATGACTAAAGTTTCCCTCCTAAACAACAGGAGGCGCTACAAAGAAAATAATGACAGTTTGAACTTTTCACACATTTGGCATTGTTGACAATGACAGGCCTTATAAAGCCATGGTAACTGTCAAAATATGCATTTTTCAATGTTTTTAGTAGATTATTTTTTATGTAAAAAAATCTAAGTTCATAAAAAACATTGGGAAAATACTTTTTGACAGCTGCTATGACATTAATTTAAAGTAGGACTGTTGCTATTTTTGAAAGCGTTGGATGAGGTATAATATGCAATACTCTTCTTAATAAATCATTAAAATATATTTTATTGATCATTTACAATCACATGTTAATGGAGAAACATGACTATTGTTAAAAAAAAAAGTGAAATGTTGTTTATGTTGAGGCCAGTAATATTCAGAAGCTAAATTTTTATTTATTTGTTCTCCTTTCGGCTGCTTCCTTCCACCACAACGAACTAACTCGCACGAAGACTTGGAAATTTGTTTGCTTTTAATTTTTTATTTTATTTTACATCGGATGCCCTTCCTGACGCAACCACATTCCACTGACAAACACACAAAAAATAAAAAATAAACCCAATCACAAATTTCACATGACCAAGTAAAAGCAGGAACCAAGTTTAGCTTTTTTAAAGCCTTTCTGCTCAAACTGTGCTCCTGTAAACTGTCACTGGGTACTAGAGCCAACATTAAGAATTTATTCAATTATTGGTTAACACTTTCCTTGATTTTAACCAACAAATCACACAGTTCAGACACTTTACTAGTATGAGTGTGATATTTGTTAACTGCGTTCAGTGTTTGTTTAGATCACAGGTTTGGTCAGTGCTAATTCCTGCAGACAGCGAGCATGAGAAGAGTACGTCGGCAGTCATTTGTGCATAAACAACAGAAGTGACAGAAAAAGCTTGATGAAGGTTAGGTGTACTCTTCCTCCCATAAATAAGACATATTAAGGCAATCGTGAAGTTGGAAACTCCTTCTGTCTTGCTTTTGAGCTAGGTGAGTTCACAATGTACAATGAATTAAAGTTAGTCTGCACCAAAACCAGTTCCCAGTATCACAAAAACTAAATCAAAAACATAAAACATACCATACTGTGGTGTTAAATTTGTTTGCAAGGTTCGAGGTTCTTTATTGTCATTCGCATCACATGAGGTGGAACGAAATTGTGTACTCAAGGTCCCAATTACACCCAAAAGTAGCAAAATATAAAGCATAAAAAAGAAACTGTATAAAAGGATCTAAGATATACATTAAACAATAATAATGAAATATAATACGGTGGATTAAACAGCAGCCTGAACACGAGTCTGTTGTGAGCAGATGGGTATGAATACAGCAACTTAAGGTAAGAAATCAGCAGCATGGATAAAGTGACAAATCACCAAATAAAGTGGCATTACAGTGATTTTTCTGGTTAGAGATTCATGAGTCTAACAGCCTCAGGGTAGAAGCTGTTCCTCAGTCTAGTGGTTCTACATTTAATGCTCCACAACCTCCTGCCTGAGGGGAGTGGGGCAAACAGTGTGTGTGCTGGGGTGAGTGGGGTTGCACTGTATATTACTTCCTTATTGTTCAGAAACTTTATATTATCTTGTGCCTTTATGAAACATTAGCTGACCTTTATCATTGTTTCAGTTGAGGTTCAGCTACTTAAAGCAACACAGCTGGAGAATGACCCCATTAGTTAGATGGGTGGTCCACTTATAGAAGAGATAAAACATCATTAAGAAAACAAACGATCATATTTCCAAAGTCTTCTTTTTAAATGATCTTCTGAAAGACAACTTTTTTTATTCGGCACGGTAACAACTTCTGCTAGAACTTGTAAACTAGCTAAGAGTTTTTGTTTAATTTAAAATGTTGTAATAAACCTTCGATTAAACAAAATTCTTAATATGGTATAAATGTCACAATCCTACATATGAAAGCATTTAGATTGAAATGTACGGCGATGAAACCTGATGAAATGATCAAGTACTAATAACTAAACATATAGGTAAACAGTCCAATGTGCACAACAAAGGTCTGATTTTAAGCAAAAATCACAGCTGCAGATAACTTTGGAGCAGTTGTGTAAATAAACCTGGAACTACACATCAGGGTGGTCTGTGTGGGTTAGGAGAGAAACGTCAGTAACAACCAGAGCTCTCAAACAACTGACGTGAAATTTTAAACTAAGGACAGACACAGATGTTTTGTTTCTTTAAACTAGCAGAGTTGGTGCACAGATGGCTTAAATAATCAAATGCCTGCAGAAGTTGTTTAAAAAGAAAGAATAGAAATGCTGGTGTTTGGGTGGGTTTTAAAATGTCAATGATAAGAAAGGTATTTGTGGCTATCTTAGTGCTCATAAAGTGTTTAATGTTGGAAAAGTAACATTTTAATCTTTATTAATGAGATTTTTGTATAAAATCGTGTTCATGTGAGTAAATATTTACAGTAAAATGTTTTGTTGTACTGTGGCAACAACTATTTCTGTTTCACCTCTGGGATGAGGAGTACCTACCTTAGAGAAATAATGTAACTAATTGAATTTTTATGTATGTGAATATACACTACATTGCCAAAAGTATTCGCTCACCTGCCTTGACTCACATGTGAGCTTAAGTGAAATCCAATTCCTAATCCATAGGGTTCAATATGACGTTGGTCCACCCTTTGCAGCTAGAACAGCTTCAACTCTTCTGGGAAGGCTGTCCACAAGGTTTAGGGGTGTGTTTTGGAGATTTTGGACCTTTCTTCCAAAAGCACATTTGTGAGGTCACATACTGATGTTGGACGAGAAGGCCTGGCTCAGTCTCCACTCTAATTCATCCCAAAGGTGTTCTGTCAGGTTGAGGTCAGAACTCTGTGCAGGCCAGTCAAGTTCATCCACACCAGACTCTGCATCCATGTCTTTATGGACCTGCTTTGTGCACTGGTGCACAGTCATGTTGGAAGAGGAAGGGGCCAGCTTCAAACGGTTCCCACAAAGTTGGAAGCATGGAATTGTCCAAAATATCTTGGTATGCTGAAGCAGTCAGAGTTCCTTTCACTGGAACTAAGGGGCCAAGCCCAGCTCCTGAAAAACAACTCCACACCATAATCCCCCCTCCACCAAATTTTACACTTGGCACTTGGAGAAACACGATTTGTCACTCAAGAGAATGCGCCTCCACTGCTCTAGAGTCCAGTAGCGGCGTGTTTTAAACCACTGCATCTGACACTTTGCATTGCACTTGGTGTATGCACTTGGTATGGCTTGGATGCAGCTGCTCGACCATGGAAACCCATTCCATGAAGCTCTCTGTGCACTGTTCTTGAGCTAATCTGAAGGTCACATGAAGTTTGGAGGTCTGTAGTGACTGACTCTGCAGAAAGTTGGCAACTTCTTTGCACTATGCGCTTCAGCATCCGCTGACCCCGCTCCGTCAGTTTACGTGGCCTACCACTTCGTGGCTGAGTTGCTGTCATTCCCAAACACTTCCATTTTCTTATAATACAGCTGACAGTTGACTGTGGAATATTTAGGAGCGAGGACATTTCACGACTGGATTTGTTGCATAGGTGGCATCCTATCAGTTTCACGCTGGAATTCACTGAGCTCCCGAGAGCGACCCATTCTTTCACAAATGTTTGTAAAAAGTCTGCATGCCTATGGTGCTTCATTTTATACACCTGTGGCCATGGAAGTGACTGGAACATCTGATTCTGATCATTTGGATGGGTGAGCAAATACTTTTGGCAATGTAGTGCATTTGTTCAGTGCCCTGAGATGACTTCTGTTGTGACTTGGCGCTATATGAATAAACTGAACTGAGTGTTATGGTTATTTTTCCACACCTTCTTCGTTATTTTGTCACAACACTTCAATCAGCTCACTCTCTCATCTTCCTCTTAAAGTTTACTTATTTCGTTTGCAACACTGACAATTAGAATTTTATAAACTTTGGCCAAAATCATGTTCAAAGTCCAAATTCCTGGTTTAAAACTGTAGTCAAAACGGTTTATTTTATTTATACTTATACTCAGTGATGATCCATAAGAGTATCATGTGTATTTGCCATCTTATTTTAATTAAAAAAAAAAAAAAATTTGTATGCCTCTTTTATGATTGTGTATTGTTGTCACTGTTGCCCATTGTTATCATTCTTTGTTGAAATCAGGTCTCTCTTGTAAATGAGTCCTCGAGGCTCAATGGGATTAACCTGTCTAAATAAAGGTTGAATGAATGAATGAATGAATGAATGAATGTGCACTATATAATATTCATGTCGTGCTCTTTTATGGGCCACAGGTTGATTTTTGTCTGTATAAATTCTGTGAAAGTGTGTGTCCTCTTGGA